TAGCTACTGCAAATGGCTCCCTAACTCTCTGTATCTGTTAAAAGGAGTGAAACTATGTATTCAAGCATGGCCATTTAAAGAATTTTCTATAAAACAAGTCCATATAATTAAATGAATTTAAAAGAAGCAACCTGCTTTCTAGATGATGAATCAGCCAAGCTCACTGAAAGATTGGTAGCCAATTTAGTAGGTATAAACCAACTTTCTTTCCTGCCCTATAGGAAAGAATGGAAAAGGAAGACACATTAGTTAAAGTCAGCATCAAACTCATCATCTGCATCAAAATAAGGACAGAAATGTTATAACCTGCTGTAGTTTGACTAATCCCAGATCTGCAAGGTCCTTGATTATGTTCCTTTGGAAATCAGTCAGTGTGTTTATATTATATGCCTAATACATAGGAAACCACCAACACTGTCAAAGTCATATGGCATTTAAACGTAAAAATACTTTAGCGAGACATAAATATAAAGAAAAAGGAAAGAGAAGGTCTAAAACACTGCAGCTAAAACAGTTAATACAGAATAGTGCAAGTTCTTATTTCACACACCAAGGAGATTGTCTTACCTCGCCTATTACATGAAAACTAAGCTCCAGCAAAAAAGAAATCAATTCAGCAGCATCAACACCTCGTGCCTGCATAGAATAGATGACATGGAGCCAATAGGAAACAAATGATAAAGACATCAGAAACATAAAATCAGGGTTGAAGAGCAAGTTCTTGCCATCTAATAGGACTGGTTTTTTGAGCCAACAAATTAACTCACAATTAAATACCTCAGAATTAGATATATATTCTCTGATGATGTACCAAAGCTGTGCATTTGTATCCATAAGCTGTAGTTTACATGGATGATGCATGTCATTAGGGAGAACATGTCATTAAGTGTGAAAGGATTACAAATCATTTGATACATACCAAAAATTGAAATCCACTTTCAGTTAATCTGGGAGCTTCTTTATCTCTACATTGGTACGCACAAGACATAAAGTAATGTTAGCAATACCCTTGTATACCCGCTGAAGTGTTAGAAATGAAAAATATATAGCAAGTAAACAAAACCTTTGTCTCATAAGATGCCGCTGGAAAAGTTTCATTAAAGAAGAGCTGATGTTTGAAGGCCTTTCAACTTGATTTGAGCTTATAAGTTGCAACAAGAAACACTGATTTATCACAGAATTAAGATAAAGAGTTAGGGCTAATTTTAGTCAGATAAAATTATAGGAAATCAATTGTATTACATTGTTTCAATGACTAGTGTCACAAAATAGTAGCAAGAATGAAAATTTAAATAGAAGAAAGAGATGGGAATAAAAAGGATTAAACATCGCACCTCCCATTGTTCTAGGGCATAAGCCTCAAGATCTTCTAAGGTTGGGAGCCTCACAGTTATATTAGAAGGCATTGGTTCCCGTGGCAAAGTTCCACTGCCAAATTAATTAAAGCAGATCTTGAATCCATAACATGACTGCAATTACATAAATACATACACACAAATAACTTCCTTTCTTTTAACATATCCAGGAGTGAATGAGGAACCATAAACGGTCATTTCATTTCATGGAGACAGCCTACCATCTATTTAAGTGAATTTGTATATTACACAATGAATGGTTACATCCTATCACCTAAATTATTTCCATCCACATGATGTTGTCTATGCTAAGAACGGCAAGAAACCATTTGAGCAACTCACCCATTTATTAAGAGATTCTGGAGACTTCTCTGAAATGTTGCATTGAGTTTGTAATTCTTTTCACTCTTCCTGCCAATAAGAGGAAAGAATGACTGCAGTGAAAGATCAGCCTAAGCCTCAAATTTATCAGACAACATCCCTTGACTATGATGACAAACTTGATGACAGTATCTAAAGCACAGAGACACACACACACATATGAAGAATAATACATGTGATCAAGAGAAATGGATTATAGACTGACATGAATTCATCATAATTTGGAGTAATGAAACTAAAAGAACGAGCAAACAATATTAAGTGGTTATAGTTTTATACTATTCACAATAACAAGGCAATTTTTGTATCCTTGATCAATCACCACCTCAACCAAGAGGTGCAGGTTGACGAGGGAAGTTAGGTTGTTTTTCTGCTTTGCTTTGCTGTAGTCTTTCTTTTGAATATATAGTATACAGTTTTTCATTGGGGGGAAGAAAAAGAAAAGAAATTGGTGCTTATAGCGCCCCCCCCCCCAAAAAAAAGAATAAGAAATAAGAAATTGGTAACACAGCCACATAGGCAAGCGTTGCAGCATAAAGAAGGGACCAGAAGAAAAAAATTACATGCCAATCCCAGAGCATGTGATCTATCAAGTAAACAAACTTCCATGGAATTTGTATTCTCGATCAGGATAAAAGCATAAAACAAACTTCAATCCCAATATCACAAAGATCTTTAAATACATTTTCATGTGGAATGTTCATGCTAAGGGACTGCATTCCGCGAATTAATATCCTTGTGTCTCCATGACTGTCGCTGGAATGAAATTAACCACTTGGAACCATGCAGAAGCTTGAACTTAAATATTGCAGTTAAATTTTGAGAGTAGATAAATATGTACCTATCAACAGTTTCAATAAAAACTCTCAGTTGAACCAATCTATCTATTGCTACTCTATGTTTTGAAGTTCCATCCGGGAGCACCCACTCCTCCATTGATTTAGCTGTCACCTGAGCATCAATGTAAAGCATTTGCAAGACATATTTTTGGCCAGAGGTGGTAGAGACCTGATATTTTAACAGACATTTGGTTAAGACACAAAGCTAATACTCAATAAACTAAAACAAATACCATTCAAGCAGCCTAGTTAATGCTGAATATGCATCAAACAACCCAAGGTGAGTTCACAATAGGGGTACCATGAAGTTATTGACACTTTGCATCCCAGAAAACAATCTTAAAAATTAGCAAAGAATCTTGATAGGGCGAAACAGAAAGGCTTGTTAAATGCATGTACAGTATCTTAAAAATTAGGCTTATCATAATTGATACAATATAAGCTAGAAATTACCCATAACCCGGGCTATTGAAGTTTCCATTCCACTTAAAAACTAGACAGAAATTGACCTGAGAATAGCTTCACAGATGAACCCATTTTCATAGAGTTTATCCAGCTTCATGGCAGGCATAGAAGCGACCATGTCCATAAAATTTTTTGCAATGATCCTGACCTCTGGCATTCTGACACCAATCCCTTATTATTCTCTACTTCCTCTGCTTTTATTGGATTCTGATCAATGTTATTCTCACACAGAGCTTAAAGAATCAAGACAAAATCCGAGATTTCAGTTCTTGCATAATTTCACAGCATCCGATCAGCACAACTCACAACTGCAACTTGCACCACAGATGATTTGCTTCTTGCCTTGCTTACTTCAATTAAATAACCAAGAGGGAAATCCTAATCCTATGTACAAAAAAAAAAAAAAGCACGGTTCTAATGCGTTATATGCTGGTCAAATCCCACTTCAACGATTTTTGCACTGTAAACGAAAAAGGATTTCACCCAGTGATAATGGAGGCTCAGGGTCTTCAACAATGGAGCCGCAAAGCTCTTCAACTGATGGACAAGAGACAGCAATACGTGCTTGGTTGAGTGACAAAAGAAATCGAGTAAAATCGTGCATTGGTGTGAGAGAAACAGCGTTGGAGGAGGGGATTCGACGACAGCTAGAGAAGCTAGGCACTTCACCAAAAGCACATTTGGAACACGCGAAATCAGTCTCAGAATCAAGGGTATAACTGTAGAACTCCTTCAACTGGCGCTCGTCGCTTCCATGGATTCACCAAATGATCCAAAGATTGAAGAGAGAACGATGCGGGGCCACTCCACCAGTCCACTGTCCATTCCCCTACCCCCCCCCCCAAAAAAAAACAAACACTCTTTGGGCCACAAGAAGCCAGTCTGCATTAGCGTGAGGTTTAGGGTTTATTCTCTCGGATCTAAAATGGATCCAACAGCAAACTAACCGGCGTTCCAATCGTGATGGGAATTTGGAACATATGACATTCTGCCGACTTTCAAAACCCAATTTTATGCCAGGCCTCCATCGTTATGTAATACTCCCTTTTTTTTAATTTCCCAGCCATTATGTAATACTCCTATGGCAAATTTGGGCCGTGAAAGGGTATCTTGTTTGGTCTTTAATATAAATTATTTTATTTAATTTATTATATTAATGTATAATTTCACTCAATTTATTATTTTATATTATGTTATTTTCTTAAAATATATATTAAATAAATCTAAAATCAGAAATTTATTAAATTTTAAAACAGACTTAATGAAATTTAGAATATTCCTTGATTGCAGTGATACATAGAATAGAAAAGGATTAGTTTGATAACTTAAAAAAAAAAAAAAAGTTGGAAAGGATTATGTTTAGACGGACACATAAGATGATCCAAACATAAGAAATTGAGTTAGCATCAAATTAAAAGTCAATTATGAAATCAAAATTATAACAACAAAATGACAAAATCAAACAATTTTTTAATTAGAACCAGCACTCAACTAACACAATATTCAATACTATACAAAAAATACTATTCAATATTCTATTATAATAAGCTATACAATTCACATTATATTGCAGTGCCTTTTTTTTTAATTTATGCCGCACTTAATTTGAGTATTTATTTAATTTTATATATATAATTTTGTGGTCTTTTACTTTATTTGTTTTTAGTTTCCTTTGTATGAAAATAAAATTAGGTGGGCTCAGTGTATCTTCTTGTCGAAATAAAACAATTACCATCAAGGTGGCAGACAGGACAACCAGCCACGTCGTTCGCATAACAACGCCCGCAGTAGAAAATATGATTATTATGTTGACCAAAAAAATAATCATGATATGAATCATGACCATGTTTATCTTATTACTGTTAAGCGAGCCGTGAATTAAATTATTACTTAGTAATGCGATTACGAGGATCTTACACTATCGATGGAATCTTTTGTCTCTGCTGGCTGCTTCCTGCTCAAACCATATAATCAGAGCCAAGCGATCACTGCTTCTCCGCTTCAGAGTTCATTGTCATCCGTGGTAATGGATTATCTTCTCTGGAAGCTTTTGCCTCTATTAGCACTACTCGTCTCCTTCGTAGCCTTCTTTTTCTTACAGGATTCCTATGTGGCCCACTTGCTTCAGTTGAAAAAGGTTCACTTTCTACTCATCTTCTCTTATCCTTTTTTATTTATTTGTATACACTATCATTGCAGGATGGGATATCTTGCTTTTGAGCAAAATCGCGACTTCTTTAGAGTTAGGAGTGAACTTGTGATATTCCCTTTTTAGCTATTTTGACGGGTCAAAACTTTGGCTTTACAATATCATTTTTTCATCACTATGGTCTGAAAGTGTTAAATTGAGTGTTGAGTTTCTCTACATTAGAGGTAGAATGTCTATTTTGTTGTTCTGGGGTTGAATTATGTTGCTGTTCTTGTAACAGCCACGCGGTGAAGAGTGTAGCTTTCATCCCTATCGCCATTACTGGATATCCAGCAAACGTATTGTGACCCCACAAGGGGTTATTTCTGGTTCAGGTTATTGGTTTCCCTTGATCACGTGAATATCCTTTTGATAATTATATTTTGATTTTTAGGTGATGTTAAAGTTTTCAAATATATATTTATGTTTTCTCTGATGCTGTGTCTTATGACAAGGATATGTTTTTCTCATCACTAATCAGGATTTACTGTGGGATCATTAACCTTCATGAATTTGCCAATGAACTTATAAACCATAATTTTGTATTTTGTTTCAACAGATGCTTTTTAAGAACCAAAGATGAATACAGAATATGAAGATAAATGGTCTTCTGAAAGAAGAGATAAACAAGAAGAGAAAGCAGGAGAATTTTTTTTTTTTTTTGAACTTTCTGTGCTGTGCTTCTGTACATATTTAATAAATAAACTCCCCTAATGAATTCATGAGCAGAAATCTTCATATACAGAAGCAAGGAAAATTATGCTACCCCTTTGAAGATGCATTTTTAAGAACATCTGGCTTAACATTCTAGCATTTGGCTCTGATCAAATTCAAGCAGCATGTATATAGAACTGCAACATTTTCTACATTTGTTCTGCTAATACCATAAATACAAGTAAAGGAAAACACTCCTGACTTGCATGAACAAATCCAATGGTCCCAGAATGCAGAATCTAAATAATGATGTTCATTCAGTTCAATGCAAAAAGAGATGGAAAGCAACATTCAAGCTAAGCATTGACATAATGTTGGGGGATAATCTGGCCTAGAAACTGGTAAATTTGTAAATTTCTCAGATCTTTTGTGTAAATCCTTTTAAATCACAACCATTTTGGGGAAAACGGTGACTCTTTGCCAGCTTTCTTTTTTCTTTTCTTCTTTATTATAAATTACTCTTGACTAGCTATTGTTATTGTAATTCTGAATCTTTCATGGAATTATGATTTTTCACTTATGCTGATTGATTTTCTTTGCAAATGGTTCAATGAAACAGTGGAGATAAATGAAGGGAAGATTGCGTCCATTGTTAAAGGAGATAGTAAGCAAGGAAATCATATGCATCAACAAGTAATTGACTATCGAGATGCTGTGGTTATGCCTGGCCTAATTGATGTGTAAGATGTGCATGTTGGCCCCTCGTGGGTTATTTATTTTTTATTCAGTTCTAGTAGATAAACACTGTTATTTATTTAACGATGAATACTCATTGATTTATTATGAAAATGGTTCTAAATATCAATGAAGAGGAAATATGGAGAAACCTGTTGAAAGCTGGGTTGAATGTTAATACAATAACTTCATCGTTCACATGTAGACCTTTTTGGGGGATAAAAATTGAGTTGAACTTCTCGAATGTTCTCACATATAACTTTTTTTTTCACTCGTTGATCACGTGCTAGAAGAACTTATATGACTTAGAATTAAGTGGAAAACACAGTTGCCAAGCTGTACAATGCTGTTTCGAATTTTCAGTAATGTTTACAGCATGCATTAAAAGTGGAGTTTATGAACAATAGTGATGGAGAAATAAGTATAAAGTGTTTTCATATCCTTGGTCTATTTATCTAATTAGCTTCTAAATAAAAAGTACAAAGGTTATCCAGCACAAACTGCACCTTTTTTAAAATTTTTGGGGCCAAAACCACAACCTAGTTGAAATAAAGGAAATAGAAACTAGCATCTGACAGCATAATCTATTGATGCCGGAAATGCTTATAGTTCTCATACTAAACCGGGTTGGTGCTATTTCCCCTCCCCTGTTAAGGAAGACGGATTTTCTTTGATTTTAGTACCAAATAAGTACTGATAGTGTGTGACACAAATGTGAAACGGCTAATTTTTGGGTTAACATGTTTTTACTAGTGAAGGGAACAAATGTATTGTGAGAGAATTATGACTGCTTAATTCAGTCAAATCGATTCTTTTCTCAAAATCAGTGCAATCTTGTGTGCTTTTCTGATGGAGTGCAATATTAGGGGCAGTTTACAAATTAGTTATTTTCAGTTATTTTTAATCTTCAATTTTAGGTGGTTATATTCAGTTATCCTTTCAGAGTATTACAGTGGGATTATTTAAATATTAGTTATTGTCAGTTATTGATGATCCTTATCCTAGAATGTAGGGGTTATTAGGAAGTTATTAGTCAGTTATTCTCAGTTATGTTTTTAGCCTATTTAAATCTATTGTACGATGACATTAGGTGCGAATGAAGTTTATTATTCAGGAATTATTCAGGAATTTCCATCTTCTTCTCTCCTAGCATTTCAAATACTGATTCTAGGCTCTCTCTCTCTCTCACACACACACACATCTCTCTTCTACCTTCTCATCTCTTCTTTCCCCTCTCTTCCCTTCTATCTCCCAATTCTTATTCTCTCTTTTGCAAAACCTAACATTTTCACTTGTACTTTATAGTGATTTCGGAATAGTTTTCTCATGGGGCCTTCTTTCAATTGTCTAAATTTTACTTTTGGCAGACATGTTCATCTTGATGAGCCAGGAAGAACTGAATGGGAAGGATTTTTTACCGGGACAAGAGCTGCTGCTGCTGGTGTGCAGATTCTCTTCATCTATTAAGCATTATTCTTTTAAGCACATTGAGATGATAAAGTTGTCACTAAGATTAAAAATAGGGCAAATAATATAATATTGTATCATTATGAGTCCTTAGCTGATTTTAATGGACTTCTCCAATGATTTTTTTTCCTGTGCTCTTGATGGGTAGTGGTTATCTGAATGTGACTAATATTGTAACTGTTTCTTGATTTTTCCCTTATGGTATCATTGATATGTATAGCTTAGACATATGCTCTCACTTTGTGTCTAAAGGTGGTGTAACAACAGTGGTTGACATGCCTCTAAATAATCACCCAACAACAGTGTCTAAGGATACGCTGAAACTTAAGGTATCTTTGAAATATTTTATTTCTCTCATTTTGATTTTTAAAATATTTGATAAGAAAATTTATGGAGGTAAAAGCATTTCGTCACTTATTTTTTGATGAACCATTCACATCAAAGAGAGCAACCACAGTTCCTTCCAGATGCATTAATTGACATCCTTGAGGTGTTTAATATTCTAATATCTGGTAAAGCTTTTTTTTATTTTATGCTGTTGAATTTAAATCCCCGGTGATTAACTGTCAAATTTTTGTGATTTCTCTTTCCTTAACATTGTGTTCAATTTCTTGGTTACAGCTTGAGGCTGCTAAGAAGAAACTCCATGTTGATGTTGGTATGAATGACAAACTATACTTAGGCATGCAAGTGATGGAGTTTCTGAAAAAGTACAATCAATGGAGTTTCTGAAAAAGTTTGGCATTGACAGGTTTCTGGGGAGGTCTAGTCCCTGAAAATGCACTTAATACGAGTATTTTGGAAGGTCTCTTGAGTGCTGGAGTTCTTGGGGTCAAGGTAATGTTCAAAAACCTATTCATTATTACTATAATTCTGTACAGAGGCCAAGAAAATGTTCATAATGTTTAGTACTATCATGTCTTATGTTGGAAGCTGTTTCATCCTGCTCCTTGATTTTGGCACCTACCATCATTGTTTCAAATTTAAAAACTATGTCAAGTGGTTCAGCTTCCCTCCTTAGTTGCACCTCTCGTTTACTTCAAATATGAGAAATAAATGATATTTGTACTGCTGTTTTCCTTGCCTTCTTTCAATAGGTATGATAATGGCTGCTATATTTTGGTCTGACCTGTTCGTCTTTTTTGTGTTTGTACTTTATAGTCTTTCATGTGTCCTTCAGGGATTGATGACTTTCCTATGACAACTATTGATCACATCAAGGTACGTTCCTTTTAAAAATTATAAAAACAATAGAAGTAAATTATAGATTACATCGATTCATTGTAATTCCTCACATTTGTATGCATTCTCTTTTCCTGTTTCCTCATCAAGTAATATGGTTTTGAATTGTAGCTTTGGTTGATATGCTGTGGTCCACTTGCATAGGCACTCGCTTTTATATCATCAATAATTCTCCTAGTTAGTAGTATGAAGTTCCTTTTCCTTTGCCGGATTGTATAATACAATTGTTATGATAATTTGCTTGGTAGGAGGGACTGCCTGTGTTGGCCAAGTATAGAAGACCTCTACTTGTGCATGCTGAGATTCAACTAAATTCAGGACATAATTTGGAACTCAAAGATGATGATGATCCTCGTCATTACTCAACCTATCTCAAGACTAGGCCACCTTCATGGTAGGACACTAGTTATGGCCTTGTATTCTGAAGAAATGAGCTTTAGAATCAGAATAAAAATATTTTCCATGATAAATAGTATTTTTTTCTGTGGACAATAAATTGGTTACTTTCTCAATTAAACGGATAAGCCTGTTCTTAATTTTTCAGGATTAATAATAGCTCTTTTTTTTGGACCAAAATGATTAGTTCTCATTTTTACGAAATGGTGATTAAGGCATTGACTGAAATTGGTCATGAGCCCTCCCCAGTGAGAAATCATCTGCGGTTGCATAGCTCAACTCTTACAGTTAAAAAGATAAGAAGGATGCCTGTGACCTAGTTTAGGACTCGTTGTTGAATATTCTATCTTTGAATTGCAAACTACTACTAATAAATACAGTATCTGTTGAATGTTGTTTTTCCATGACTTAAGTCCATCAAAAATTTTGGATGGCCATACTATCATATATGTTGGCTCGGCTCACTGCCTATTAAATTTCTGCTGAATCACGCATCTTCATCTTCACTTCTGAACCAGGGAGCAGGCAGCTATTAGAGAACTGGTGGGTGTTACAAAGTATACTGGAAGTGGTGGTCCTTTAGAAGGAGCACATGTTCATATTGTTCACTTGTCTGATTCAAGTGCTTCCTTAGATATGATTAAGGTAATATATGCTTTTTCGTGGAGATATACCCGTTCCAAATCAATACTTCTGTGTGTGCGCCCCTTTCTAGTAATTAAAAGGTAAAATCCCATTAACAGCTATAACCTTGATAAATCCCAAGCATAAATGTCAGTAAACTTATTCATGATAATTGCTGTTGTGTAAATGAATCCTACAAAATGCCAGTTAATTGATACGATAATGATCTTGTTCACATTTAAATTGTTTGTTCTCCTTTTGCTTGTTAAAAGAACTTGTCAAACTTCCCGCACCGTAGTAGAGTGTATCGTCACACATTGGTACTCTACAGGAAGCAAAACGTAGAGGTGACAGCATTAGCGTTGAGACATGCTCGCATTACTTAGCTTTCTCATCTGAAGAGATAAAAGATGGAGATACTCGTTTTAAGTGTTCCCCACCTATCCGTGGTGCATCCAATGGAGAAAAATTATGGGAGGCTTTGCTGGTAATTTCTTCTCCACGTTACAGATTAATATCTTACTTCTTACATTTTATCCATGATCTCATTAGCCTTAATTGTTTATTTTTCATTATAGGAAGGAGACATTGACTTTTAACTTCTGATCATTCACCAACAGTACCAGAACTCAAGCTTCTTGATGAGGGTAACTTCTTGAAGGCTTGGGGTGGCATATCATCTTTGCAGGTTTGTCACTTTGTCTGCTTATTGATAATTTGGATTGTTATATCTTTTTCCATACAGCGATATTAAAAATGAATTGGACATCTTCAAACTGGTAGTTGAATGGATAAGACGTTCACCCCTATGCAGCTATGCCCTTTAAATGAAATCGAAAGTATGTCTGCACTTCAGTAAACAATGTGGTACACCTCAGTCCTCAAGTCATTAACGAAAAAATGCTCAACTGATCTATTGGATCTTTATGCTTGATCTTGAAATTGATGAAGAGCAGAAAAGTGAGGTTTTATGCTAGTTGAATGTGGTATATAATTTCAATGAATGGAATTGTATATAAATAATTTCTGAGATTTGTATCAAGATCCATGAATTAGAACCACCATTTCTTAGTTATTTATATTTACTTTACGCTTGTTTTCGGTTTATTTATGCATTCATTAATTATTAATTCAGTAGTTCGGTTGTATGATTGGGTATTTTCTACCATGCTACATCATATATTTTTTCTGTGTTTTGGTTAGAGGGGGGCAAGTTGTACAAGTGCCTTATAGTTATAAGCCAGCTTTCTGTTTTTTATTTTGTCTACTTTGAGAATATCTTATCCTTCTTACTTGTAACATTGTCCTTCCTCTATAACAAATCATTCTTTTTCCCCCAAAAAAAAAAAAAGTAACCATTGATAATGGGCCAACACAAAATTCCTTTGGGCTGCGATGAGGAGTTATGCTATATATTTTACAAAGATCCACAGGCTAGTTTCCTTGGATCAGCTGAATCTGAGTTATTTCCGTAGAAATTTAACTTCTATTATTGGTTTGAACTCTAAAGGCTAACATGCTCTACTGGGATACTTGTAGTTTGATCTTCCGATAGCATGGTCATATGGACAAAAACACGGAGTAACTCTGGAACAACTATTTATGGTGGAGCAAGAGACCTGCAAAATTTGCTGGATTGGGTTCAAAGGTGATATGATTGCAGTTTCTTCCTTTGCCTCAGAGCTTACATGCTATAAATGATAATAGTGTATCTTTGTCTCTGATTCAGAAACATAAAAATTAAAATCTCTTATTAGTTATTCAAGTAGATAGAAATCTCCCAAAACTTAATTTCGGTCCATCCCTTTTTGTCCTTTCTATATTTTTGCCTTCCCAGTTAGGGATTCCATCATGTGTCTTCTATACTCTTGCTTTAAAATTTACCTGAAAAAGCTTTATGTTAAAGCTCTTAAAGATTGTATTGTGAACTGTTCAGTCGGCCACCGTGTGCTCCCTTGAAATTTGTTGCAGGTTGAAGTCAGACTAAATTTCCATTTATGTTATAGGGGGGCATTGAAGTTGGAAAAGATGCTGATATTGTGGTGTGGCAACCAGAGACAGAGTTTGTCCTGGATGACAAGTATCCTGTTTTCATTAAACATCCTGTAAGTTTCATTTCTTCTCTTCCTGTTCTGCTAAACTCATTTTTTTCATGTTTCAGTCATGATACTTTTATTATGGTGGCTTTTTCTTGCTGGAACATTTGTCCATTTGCCTGCAGTATAAAATTGAGTATACGTAATTGAACAAG